AGCAAAGTTTGTGAAATTAACCAATTTTTTTCTTAAATAACTGAGCTGTGAAAGATGTAAAAAATGAAAATGCCAAAAAGCAAAATCTCAACAAATTTCATCAAAATTTGAACAAACAGCATAATAGGTAAATAAAAATATATCAAAATCAGCCTAGATTTTGAATCTGAGAGTCATTCTGCTAAGATGACCGTTAACTCTTTCATCCCCCAGCCTCCCTCGGATTCTCCGCGTTGACCTTTGGCCTTCCCAACCGTCCGAAAGATCGGGGACGATCCTCCCGGCGAGTGGAGACAAGTGGATGCGAGGAAGAAAGACCGCACTCGCCCCCCAGCCGCTTTTCAAGACTCCCACACCCGGTTTATGCATGCTTTTGACCTTCAGAGCTACGACCTTGCCCAGTCATTTCCAACTGAACAGAACTGGCTTTTGACAATAGGCGGGGGTGCTTTCCACTCTCAATAACGGATCCCCAACGAATTTAGACCGAACGAGGAATGGGCTTAACAACAATAGCCGAATAGTTATAATCAACATTCGTTTGTTTACAGTAGCAAGATTGACCAAACCTGGGAATCACCCGTTTTTCTATTTATATTATTTTTTTCTATTTACTTTTGACCTTCGATCTATTCTGGATCATTCTTCCTTTTTTGCTTACAAATCGTTGTCAGGGTGTTAAATGACATTCATGGGAATACAGCCCATGGTCCTAGGTTGTTAACTGCCATCTAGAGAACAACTGCACAATTTTTCTACTGTAACATTTAGTTTTCATTAACATAGGCCTTCAATCTTTTACCGTTCTGAAATATAGAAAACGTGAAAGGAAGCGGGTATTAATCGTATAACGTAGTAGTTCGAAGAAGCAATGTATATACTATATGTAAGATGTGGTAGAAGCTGGATTCCACATATTTCGTTTTTGTTTCGCTGAAACAAATCATTACATAGATGTACTGAGCTGAGAACCGACAGAACGTCTATCTGGAACACAAGGAATCGTTAAAATTCGCATTAGTTTTTGTTCATACCACGATAGAAAGGCTGCCCAAACCTGAGGATTATTGGTTCTTCATTTTTACCTTTGAACTTAGACTTACTTCGGGTCATTCTTCCTTTGGCCTAAAGATCAATTGTTGATCTTAGTAGATTAAAAGTGATAAATAGGATTTATGGGAATACAGCCCATGGTGCTACATTGTTATATGGCATCTATCGACCAATTAATTCCATAAGTGTACCACATGGTTTTTATGATTGAAATAAGCCATCCACTATAAATTTTAAATTCTTTAGCGTAGAAAACGTGAAAGGAAGTGTGCCGTTGATTATAAAAGTTGGTAGTCTGAAGAAGATAGGAATGCACTATCAAAAGCATGGTTTAAGCCCGATTCTATATATTTCGGCTGTTGTCTCGTCGAAAGAAAACTTAAAATATTTTTACCGAGCTGATAACAGTCAGAACTTCCTTCTGGATCATGAAAAGCAGTCCAAGCCGAAGAATCCCTGTTTGTCTTTTGTTTTTCTTTGAACTTTGACCTACTCTGGAACTTCAAGTGTAGTGGTTTTTATTGTCGAAATGCCTTCCACTCCAAAAATTTTCAGCTCTGAACACAGAGTCAACGTCATTCTGGAACATCATCATAGATGATATGGAATAGTTGCAACAATTCGTTTGTCGTTCATACTACTATAGAAAAACTGGTCAAACCGGGAAATCACTCGGTTTTTTTTCTGCTGTTTTTTTACAAATAATTTGTGACCTTTAGCCTAGTATCGACCATTCTTCGGTTTGCTTACAGATCAATTGTTTGTGTTCAGCTGTTAACAATGTTAAATGGCATTTATGGGATTACAGCTCATGCTCCGAGATAGTTAACTGCCATCTAGAGTACAACTGCTCATTTGTTCGGCCGTACCATTTAGTTTCTAATTGAAATAGGTCTTTTACTCAAATTTTTCATATCTTTAATGTAGGAAAAGTTAAAGGAGCGATCTGTTGGTCGTGAAAGATTAAAATTGTTTAATTGGATTATTGGGAATACAGCACATGATGCTTAATATGGCATCTATTGGTAAATACTTAATTCCATGGGTGTACCACATTGTTTTTACTATTGAAATAACTAATCTACTAAAAAAATTTAATACAGAACTTGAACGTGAAAGGAAAAGTGATCGTAGGAGTTGATAGTCTGAAAGAGGAAAGTCTGCACTGTATGACAGGTACGGTAGAAGAATCTAAATAGCACATACTTCGTTCGCTGTTATCTAGTTGAAACAAAACATCTAATAGTTTGTACCGAGTTGAGAACCGACATAACACAAGGAAATCTATGATATTAGTTATCGAATAGTTACAATAAACATTCGTTGTTTTTTTGTATGCACCAGGTGGAAAGTCAGCCTAAACCAGGGAGTCACTTGTTTTTCCATACTTTGTGACCTTAAACCCACTTTGGATCATTCTTCCTTTCGCCTACAGATCAATCGTTCATCTTAGTTGGTTTGAAATATTTAATTGGATCCACGGCAATACAGCCCATCGGGCTAGATTGTTATATGCCATCTGTAAACCAATTGCTCAAATCCCTGGACGCAATTGGTTTTTAATAATTAAATAAATCTTTCGCTCAACATTTTTCAGTTTTTTATTGCAGGGAAGATAAATGACGTTTGTTGATCGTAAAAAGTTGCTGTTTGAAGAAGCAAGGTCTGCAAGTGCGGTAGAAGCTTGAATCCACATATTTCGGCTGTACTCTCGTTGAAACAAAATCTCAAATAAGTACTGAGGTGAAAATAGACAGAAAATCTTTTTCAACAATCATATTTAATAAATTGTTCAAAAGTACAAAAGAAATATAAAAAATACAAATCACGGCATGCTTTATTTTGATGTCTCCAGTGTCTTTTTCTGTTAAGACCAAGTAAATCCAGTTTCTATTCATGATTAATCAATCACAGAAGAACAGTTTGTTGGATTCCTGAGGAGCGGTCAAGAAGGAGGTAATTTATAAAAACACCTTTTTTTCATTTTATTGCCAACGTTTCGACCTTTACTCGGGTCATCTTCAGAGCCTGGGTGAATCTCAAAACACGTTTTTATTGATAAAATTACAATAAATATGTAAATATAAAATTTGAACCAAGTATTTCATATTCGCATAAGTGATACGTGAATTTGTATTCTGCTTTTTATAAAAAAAATTAAAAAAAAAAACAGCAATCTTTATCATACGACATCTTGTTCTTTTCTTTCTTATGTAATAAGGACGATTATGTTGATGATGATCTAATGATTCTTACGCAAAGTACATTGTGGATTTTTATTAGAATCCAACTTAATCAGCAACATTTTGTGTAAAAATTGTAGTCTGTAAAAAATAAAAAAAATTAATTATCTCAATAAAAATATTATTTGTATTATATAAGATTAAATTAATGTTTAATTTATTCTTGAACTTTCTGAACTTGAAGCTTTAGTGTACGCCCTTAGATTTTTATTAGAATCCAACTTAATCAGCAACATTTTGTTTAAAAATTATAAAGTCCGTAAGAAAATAACAGTGCGATAAATTAATTATCTTAATAAAAATATTAATTATATTTTAATATAAGATTAAATTAATGTTTAATTTATTCTTGAACTTTATGAACTTGAAGCTTTAGTGTACGCCATCAGATTTTTATTAGAATCCAACTTAATCAGCAACATTTTGTGTAAAAATTGTAGACTGTAAGAAAATAAAAAATAAAAGTAATAATAATAAATTAATTATCTTAATAAAAACATTAATTATATTATTTAAGATTAAATTAATGTTTAATTTATTCTTGAACTTTCTGAACTTGAAGCTTTAGTGTACAAGTATGTAAAATCCTGAGGTATGTATGTATATATATATATATATATATATATATACACGTAGAATAATAGTCGTTACTCTTGATACAACACCAGGTACAATAAAATGAAGCCATTTTGAAATTGTATTTAACTTAACTTTTATTTTTTATATACACAACTTTTTGTTCGCAATAGATTTACAAACTACTTAGAAAGAAAGAAAGGGAAAAACTGGCATGTTTAACATTGCAATTTTCAAAACCCTCTGTATTTTTGTCGAATTGTCGGGAAGAGTTTTTTTTTTCAGAGGTTTTGTTTTCCAAAATTTCTTTTGTACAGTTAACAACGTTGTAAAAAAAAGAGAACTTCACTATTTTTCCTTTGACGAAAAGTTTTTCTCTTTCTCTCTTCTCTCTGTTTTTGTTTTATTAATGAAAGACTTTCAAAACGTGATTTTCTTTTCTCTCTTTTATTATATAGAAAAGGAAAAAATCAAACATATTGTTTATCGACGAATCTAACTACAATTAATTATTATCATTTTCTTTATTAATTGTATATTATATAATATTGTAAATTATTAACCATTCTCTGATATGTCTAGCTACTCGAAATTCCGTTCCATCTTCCCAAAGGCGCCTTCGAAGAGGCGCTTGAAATTATTTTCGTCGACATTTTTATAACCTACGTGCTCTTTATTGTGCCTTTTTATTACTTTTTTTATATATTTTATTATTATTTCTTCATTTTTATTCATTAGGAAGACACGTGAAATCACAAAATTACTTTGCTCATTTTAAAAAGCTAATTTGTCTGCTTTAGGGAAACTCGTTATAAAAGGCTACGCAATTAGGGGAAGAAAATAAGAGATGTGATAATGAACAATGTTTTGAAAAGAGTCAAAAACCAGTTTCTACCATCTAAAAATCTATTGTTGTTTAAAACTATTTTTTTATTACGTTTTAGTTTTCTATGTATATATTTTCTTGTAAAGGATAATAATTTTTTTATAAATACAATAGAAAATGGTTTTTGAAAAGGCTACAATGGTAACTTTAGATCTCTTGATTTCTTTTTTTTTTCTTTTTTTTCTTAAATGCGAAAAATTCTTCAAAAATTTAAAAAAGAAACAAGCAATTTTTTTTATTTAATTTTTTTGAGCTTTTTATTACAAACAACTTTTAAAATTTCTAATAAAATTTTTGGACCCCAAAAACATAAAAGTACACGACCTTGGCGATAGTACAACCATTTTTTTGCATGTGAAAACTGGGGTAAATTTTCCCCTTATCTTTTTTTTACCCTACTCTAATTGTCGAGATTCTATCTTGTAAATATTTCATTATCTCAGAAGAAAAGTGTTTTTTTAGTTGATTCTAGGCACTAAGATAAAACTATTATTAGAAAAAATTTCAAAAATGTTGTTAAAACTTTATAGAGATAGTGCTTTTCGTTTAAATATAAAACAGGTGGATTTTGCCTTTTTAAAACTTTCATAAAAACTGTGTTTTCTAAAGACTTGTTTTCTCTAATCAATTCCAAATCCTGTTTCGTTTTCTCTCTCTTTGATTTACAAATGGCGAAGCAGGAAAAACGACTCTTCTAACCATTACGAGCTGCAAACATCGCTGAAACAAAAAAAAATTTAATTTGAAATTTATTTGTTTAAAATTTTTTTCTCGAAAAGTTCATTAAAGGATCTAGAATATATTAACGGCACGACTACCGAAACCAAGGCCATGTAGTGCAAAAATGATAGTAGGCCTGTTCACTGACCCTGCAGTCTCTGGAAGGAAATTGAAGGAGGAGATACAAGGCTTGCCAAATGATGTCACTACTCCAAAATCAATTTTACTAAAAAGTACAAGGTACTAATACCAGAACGGGGAGAATGGCAAACTCCTACTGGTACACTGATGGTTCCAAAACCGAAAAGGGCACGGGGCTGGAGTCTTCGGGATGAACACAAAGACCGACTGACGGTAAACTTACGTAAATAAGCGATTGAACACTCCGCCAGTGAAATTAAAACGCTAGGAATACCTTCCCAGAAGATAGCCATCTTCTCTGACAGTCTGGCAGCACTAAAGGATCTAGCCTTATGGCTGTCATGAGGTTATGACAAAGAGCATTTGGAACTGCATGGAGGCCCTGACGGAAGTAAGCGGTACTAATGACCTGACCGCCTTCGGAGTATAGAGGCAACGAAAAGGTTGACATGTTGGCGAAAGAGGGCGTCAGCGTGGACCCTCTAGATCCTGGACCCTCCTGTGCCTTAGCCACAAAAAAGAGGACACATATTAAAAAGGATCCTCGCTCGCGAAGAGATTCATAGACGAACCATCCGCAAAACTTACAAATTTCTGGAAGGCAATCGCAACAGGATCAGGATTCTGGTTGGACTCCTGACAGGACATTGCCACTTAAGAAAGCACATGCACCTCATAGCAGTTCAGACAGAACAAAGACTGTGCTGATACTGCCAGGAAGAAGAGACCGCAGAACACATTTTAGGTTTCTGTGGTCTATGTAGGTGCAGGTTCTTGGACTAGGACAGGAAAAACTACAAGCAAGATCCTACACTAAGGAGCCGCTGGCAAAGCTATGGAGGTTGATTAATATCCTGAAGCTGGCCAGTGAGTTATAAAACAGGGGAGTACAACTTATCAGGTCGAGGTGCAGAAGGCCTTGTGGTCGCCTCTCTTATCTCTATCCCTCTGTTGATACGAAGGTCTATCCAAAAAAAGTTGATCCATCAGACAATGGAAATGTCCTCAGTTCCCAAATCCAAGAGTTGTAAAAAAGTTGACTAAAGTATCATCGCAGAAAGTAACAAATTACTAAACCTAAGACGTGTTAGGTCTAGAATGATAGTACGACTACTGACTGAACAATACAGTCTCCAGTGACATAGACTCAGAACAATAGAAATAAGCCTGTGCAGATATCGCCAGGAAGAAGGAGAAACAGCGGAACATTTCCCATGATTGTGACCAATGCAGGCCGAGATTCCTACTTCCCAAGTGAAGAAAAGCCAAAGCCTAAAGGATAGACAGGAAAGCACTCTCGAAAAATTTGGGTTAAAAAGTTTTGTGCTTAACCAAAAACGCTATTTTTTTTAAAAGAGGGTTCGCAACTGCAGAGGTCTTATCAACCCTCGGAGTGTCGGTGTTTTTTGAGAAAAAACCTATTTGTAAATATGCCAGGTTCTAATGTGGGGCCGCTGGATTCGAACCCGGTACTTTTACCTTACAGTGTTGTACGCCGTATCAATACCTCGACCGTTGCTGCCACCGAGCCACCGATAGCCCATGATGATTTATTATTAAAATAATCTTTGTAATACTACCATTCGGCTCCTCCGTTTCTGAGCCCGGCCTTTGACTCCTGCGGCACTTGCTTTCTGAAGCAGTTGTTGAAAAAGTTCTCAAGGGAGCGGTAGAGGTGTTTTTTGACACCTGACAGGCTGTGGTTCTCGTCTGGATAGATCTGTTAAAAGTTAATCCGTTATCAAATTTATCTCGATTTTTTCCACTTTAGGTTTTGAAATTTTGATGCTTGCCTGCTGCGAATAGACGATGCCGGCGCTGGACAGGGCCCGGGCGTAGTGCAGCGCCTGCTGGAGGTGGACGTTGTCGTCTGCGGTGCCGTGGACGAGGTAGAGGCTTTTGTCTTTCAGCCCGTTTACCCTTTTCGATAATTCCGCCTCCTCGTAGCCTTTGTAGTTGCCTGTGACATTGGGCATCCCCATGTAGCGCTCCGTGTACGCGGAATCTGCGAAATAGGGAATAATTTCGTTTCTAATCGTATAAGAGTTTCTCGGGCTGTACAGGCTTTGGAACTGTAGCAAACGGAAGGTGGGAAGCAAAGAAATAATTTAATGGAACAACAAAGCAAAACGATAACATTGAGACGTCCCTTGACGATAAATCATGAGATTAGGATAATCGTATGAACTGTTTAAAGAGAAAACGATGGAAATTTTGCCCAGTCTACCAAGGGAAAGATATTGGTATACGTGAAAGCAGATAAATTATATTTTATAATTGAGAATTACAAGTTTTTTTAACGATCGAACATGAACTGGAAATATTGTGTCTGTCTATTCTGGGTAGTTTTGTGTCAGGCGAGTTTAGGCATTTCGGTATGACCTCACTGTCATAAAGAAAACGATAGGTATCAGACCGAGAGTGATAGAGAAAACAAAACAAAAATGAGTGAAAAAGTAAGCAGGAGAAAGAAAGAACGCTAAGAGAAGGTGTGTGATCACAGCAGACAAGGGAAAAAAGGAAAAGTAGAGAGAACAAAGGAAGTAAGAGGGATTTTAAAAAAGGAGAGATAGTCTCTGTAATGAACAGAGAAGGTGAAGAAGAGAGAGGAAACCAAATTAAATTGAGACGGATGGATACAAGATCGCTGCGCGCGCGCGTGTGTGTGAAAGTGAGCGAGAGATAGATAGAGAGTAAGTGAGCGAGTAAGGCAAACAGAACGAGAAAAAGAGTGAGTGAAACAGAGAGAGAGAGAGAGTATGTGTGTGTGTGTGTGTATGAAAGTGAGCGAGAGCATGATAGAGAGTAAGTGAGTGAGTAAGAAAAACAGAACGAGAAAAAGAGTGAGTGAAAAAGAGAGAGAGATAGAAAGAAAGTGTGTGTGTGTGTGTGTGAGAGAGAGAGAGAGAGAGAGAGAAATGGTGTGAGGGAGAAAGAGAGAGAAGAAGAGAGATGGAGGGGAGAGAGGGAGAGAGAGAAGGAGGGTTAAAAAATAGAAGAGAGACTAACAAGAAAGACAAACATTAACTAGAGAAGATAGATAAAGAGAGCGCGAGAAAAAAAGACAGGCTGAAAGAGAGAGAGAAAGAAGTAAGAAAAGTAAGTCATGTAGAGAGAGCAAAAGAAAAATTAGGGCAAGAACTAAAGAAAGATGAAAAACAGAAGATAGATAGGTAGATAGATAGAGAGACAGAGAGAGTGAAACAGTGAAAGAGAACAATAAATATAACAACAAATGTGAGGAAGAACGAATGTGTCACTGAGAGAGGAGAGTAAGAAAGAGCGAGAAAAACAAACAGCGAGAGAAAGAGGGGGAGATAGAGTGGGTGAATAATACAGAGAGATTGAGAGAACCAAAGCGAGCAACAGAGCGAGCGAGCGAGAGTGACGAGAAAAAGGAGAGTGCGAGTATGACAGACAGAGAAACCAAGAAATGCGAGAAAGAGGGTGAATGATAAAGTGAAGTTAAAAGTAACGATGAAAAAAAGATGTATAGAAAGCGTGGACGAAAGGAAAAAAGGAAAGAGATAAAGTCGCATTAGGGAGAGAAAGGAAGAGCGTGAAAGGTCAAGTATAAATAAGACAGAGAGCGGCAGAAAAGGAAGAGCGAATGTGAAGAAGTATGGAAGCAGAAAGGGTGGGAGAAACAAGATTGAGATCAGAAAAGCGAGGAAAAAGTGAAAAATGACATTGCTAGAAAAGAAAACAAACAAAAAGAGGGATATTTTCTACATCTGTCCCGAGTTAATCTAAGGTTGAGAAAGAACGAGAAAATATAGACAGTGAAAAACGTACAGAGAAAGTGAGAGAAAACTAAAAAACAAACAAAATTCGCATCCACGAAAAACTCCATACCATCTCATAAAACAAAAACCCGACCAAAACATCAAGAATTGATTTAAAAAATTTTCAATTCACCCTTAAAGACAAAGTATACTTTTCCCTCCTTCACACATTTACTAACAAATAATATGATCGACTTATCGAAAGCATAGACCAAACAGTGAAGGTGGAGAACTGGCGAAACTCGTCTGACAGGGAAAACTGGCGAGGATGAGCGGACCCCGCGGTCGGAGATCAAACTTGATAAAGAATTGGCGCCTAAACTATATAGACAGTAATCAAGTTTACGCATAACCATTGAAAACATGAAATACATGATTGAAAATTATGACTATAGAAGAGCAGTCATCTTAGGCAGTTCATGAGGTACAAATCCAAATACTCAAAGAAATATTGTTGTCCGACTGCAGCTATGCTTATCTATTGAAGGTGAAAGTTCAGCAGTTTAAATAGGGCGTGTTTAGAAAAACAAAACCATGAACTGCTGAGGGTTAACCTTGTTGACAATGTGCGATAAAGTGTTCTCCAGAATATTCGAACAGAGGTCACCGTGTTATTCATACATATATTGACTATTCTATATTCAAGCTGACACATTTTTGAACAAAACGTAACGACCAAAATTGTTACCCCTACCATAACTTTTTGTTTTCTAACCGTAAAGGCGCCAGGATGTTATCGGAGCGACGGCAGCCCCGCACTGGAAGACCTGCTGGCCCGGTGACGAGAGCAGCATCGCAGCAACGAACCCGCCGTAACTCCAGCCCCAGACGCCGACACGCCTTTTATCGATGAAGTGAAGATTATCTCGAAGATACCTGCAATAGTCATAGAAGGTATTAATTGAAAAAAAAAAGAGACTTCTGCAAGTCACGAATGTTACGCACTCTGTTACTTCGAGCTGGTCTGCGGCCTCGACGGCGCCCAATTTCATGTAAACCTGGTGTGTCAGGGTGTACCTGAGGAAACAACGAAAGCCGTAGTAAAGGAATTGTATTGTAACTAATTAGGTTTTACCCTTTTCCTGAAGTGCCCCGGCCGTCGATATAGCCGACGATGATGTCTTGGGTCGAAGCTAAATAGGTGCCCCAGTCGATTTTCCATTTGTCGGTGACCAGTTGTGACCCGGGGCCTCCGTATCTAGAAGAAAAGCCCGGTATTGTTTTTATTCAAAAAGACTATCACCGGCAAGACTTACACTTGGAGTATGAGAGGGTACTTGGTGATTTCGCCCTCTCTCAAACCCGGAGGCAAGAATAGCCTCACCTGAGCTTGATACCCGCCTGATATTTCGACGGGGAACGTCCTCACCTGCGGTAGAGCGACTTTAGAGACGCGGTCGTACAATCTGGAGTTGTTCTGGAGGTTCATAATGCAACCCGTGTCGGTTTTGTAGAGCCAGACCGTCGGGATACCGGGTCCGAGGCATTCCAGGACGTAGTAGGTCGAATTGGGAGAGAAAATGGCGTTGTGGTACAAGCACTCTCTGTACAAGGGTTCTTCGACATCTAAAACATCAGATAACGAGATTAAAAAGGCAGTTAACTTTTATATGTCCCATAATTGTTTTTGTGAAATCTAATTATAATTGCAGTTTGGTTGTTTTCGATCATTTTGGTCTTGTTTCTGCCGTTTTGGCCTGCATGCGCGTTTCGCCTCCTTCCTAGCTATAGTACCAGGAGCAGACTATAAGATAGGCCAAAATGATCAGAAATGTCAAAACTGGAGGTCCATCACCCGGCAGACCCATCGAAGTTAACAAAACTGCCTTATAATTTCACAACAAAATTAAACAACTTTTCCATATTTGATTCGTAAGGTATGGATCTATATTCCGAATTTATTACGTTGTGGCTCCTCCTCCTTCTTCTTTTTGGGCTTGGGCGGCGCTTCTGTCGTCGGTAGTTCGTAGTCCGCGTCGTCGAGTAAGGACGATTCCTGTGATTGAGGAGTTTTATGGACAGGACGAGACGGTTCGGTCCCGAGTCCTGCCTTCGGACAGCTCAGGCACAATGGTTTCGAGTTGTTCTCCATCTTTACAGAGTAGAGATGAAGCTGAGAGAGGTAAATCGCCAGGTAGTACCTGCAAGGAGATTTTTTTAAATCAATATCTAATATTTTCCGTTGCACACTTCGTGTATTTACACGACGTGATTCTGTAGGTGCCATGAGACTATCTTGACGACTTCGAACGTCCCCTGGGTGATCGGTAGCAACCCTTTCTTCGGTATGTTGACTGAGACGATGTGCCTGAAAAAGCCTGCACTGCCGTCTTTCACAGGAGCCAACGTGAGATAAGTGTTGCCGTCGTTGCTGAAAATCGGCGGAGGAGGTGCCTCGACCCAACTCTTCCCCATTCCGGACACTCTTTGGGTCTGTACGATCAAATTAATTTCAAACTTGGTTGACAAGCAAATCCGACAGACTTACCTCCTGGCAGAACCACATCGGATTTTTACAAAGCGTAACCATGGAAATGTTCTGCGCTCGGTTCATCCAGACGACTGCCACCTCCGTAGCACTCACCCAACTGACACCATTGAAGTAATAATCCCTAAATAAACACAAGCGATATTCGGGTTTTTACTGTGTTCTTAAACTTATCTCTTTAATATTGGTTTTTTAGACTTACGTTGTTTGGCCGAGAGCCATTGGAGCTTTGAGGTCTTTTATTTTGATATTCTTGGGATCGGCTAGATCGGCAATGTACAGGGTGACGTGTGGGTTCGTCGTTCCAGGTTTAGGGTACCTCAACTTTCTTATTTCCGGGTAGAGCTGCTGTGTGTCCTTGTCCACGCCGTACCAAGGGAACTGGAACTCTTGGACTAGAGTGTCGTTGAAGCTCGCGAAGAGAAGAAGCCGGGCGTCCTTCGACATCCACATGGCCTTGTTGTCGTCGAGGATCTCCTCTAAAATCAAAATTTCAATTATCCATCGCTTGTTCGTACTACGTATATACTAGTACTGCCGAGTTACCTTCGTACAGCCAGTCGGGCACGCCATTATGAACCAGTCCCGGCACCGCTGTGCTGGTTATCCTGTAGACCTGCTGACTCCTGGGGTTCGGCCGGAAGTAGATGTCGTAGTCGAGGACGATGAGGAGACCGTTGCCCCGGGTCGACCACTGAGCGTGTACGAGGAACTGCTTTTCCTCATGTCGTTCCGACACGGTGACCGGGTACGTCTGGCCGCTTGATACGTCGTAAGCCGTGTACTGAGCGAGAAAGCTATGCCTGAAGAGCTTTTTTGTGTTGTGGACCAGGAGCAAGAACTTACCATCGGGTGACATCGTGAACTTCACAATGGAGAAACGCCTCTAAAAAGCAATCCACAATCAAATTTCAAGAACATTTGTATTATTTACTGGACTTACAAATGTCTGACTCGGCATGATAACTTTAGTCGTCAAGTTTACAGCATTCAACACAACAATGTTGGAATTTTCATCTTTGTACATAAGTTGGTCGTCTGTAATAAACAAATTGTCATTTATTCGTACATACAACATAAAATACAAACAACAATATTTTATGGTATTAATTAAGCGCTATTGCTGATGACAAAGGAACTCAATGAGTATATTTGACCTGCAATCCAAGATCCGTTGAACCTGAGCGGTGTGAGTTCGTGGCTCAGTATCTCCTGCAGCTTCAGCCTTCCGGCCTTAACCCTGGGCCCGTTGTCAGGAGGCGTGAGGAGGACCACGGATGTTACGATGAGAGCCAAGACAGACATGATGACGAGCATCGCTATGAGAATCCCACGCCAATTCCTCTGGTTCGGGTTTGACGAGACGAGCTGCAAAACCAGACACTAACTGACTACATCTGTTGCGGTGTACTATTTTGTATTTTCTGCTTGAAACTACTAAAAATCACGAATCATACTGGAAGGAAAAGAATGGAGCCTGCAGGATATGCAGTTTGGTCATTGCCGATCTTCCTGGTCGATTGGAAGTTGCTGGTTCGATATACTACAAAACGACACGACTGACACCATAACACTAACACCAAACCATCGAGAGATGACAAAAAGCTGAAAAGCGTTTGGTAGGACAAAACCATCGAAACTAGACAGACCAGTTGACCAGATATGACCAAATGCACGTCCATCACCCAGCAGACCTCAAGAATACAGGTTTAATAAAATCGTGTCATAATTTCAAGTCAAATGGAAGGTTGCGTGACTGTCAGCATAAAATCATAAGATGTAATCAGGATTATAAAACTGGTTTGTAACGATTTAGAAGAAATGAGCTTTAAGGGTTTTTACGCCGTGCTATTTCTTTGAAGAATATGAACTTTTTTCTAAATAACAATTCTTTGCCAAAAAATGCCTGTTTTGAACATTTTCTTACTGAAATCGAGCATAAACACGAAACACAAAGAGGACGCACATGGTTTATAATTGGGTTTTGGTTGCAGTTTCAAAATATTTTGTCGTGTTATCAAAACTTTATAAAAGTTGACTTTCCTGTCAGTTTTCCCTTAACGGTGGAAGATGCAAATCGTTACCTCGTCATCGTAGTTATCCTGGTCCGACATGTCCTCTCAGCTCAGTAGTACCCAGGGAGAGTGGCACACAACCGTGAAGGATCAAATCATGGACAGGATTTCCCGCATCCCGATCACTTTTCCAGTCTCCTCGCCCTCACAAACCCTCGCACATTTCCACTCAGGGGCGTTCTGGGTGAAAAGTCTTCCTCCGCAAGAGGGGGAGGGGGACGACGGAAAATCAATATCGTCACAAAACCTACCCCCGTGTGGCCGAGTTTCGATCCTATCCCTTAGCGATAGAAAAAAAAACTAGGGTGATTAATAGTTTCTTTATTGGAAGAAGATTCCTTTCTCCATCCTTTATTGAGCCCGTTAATCTAGTAAAAGGGATAAGCCGGATTTAATTCACGGCCAACTTGAAAAATTGGACGTGTATTTGAAACGTTTTCCACCAGAGCCGCCTTCTCGAATTTATCCACAAATTCGGTTCAATTTATATTTTAAACAATTCCTAAACAAAACTGATTATAATTGTTTTTAAAAAAACAACAACATCCAATTGTTAAAAAACCGTCAGGGTATTGGGAAATTATGCAGAATCTTCACGGTATGAAATTTTTATGTGACAGATCACCATAATTTCCACGGGGTTGAAAAAGCCCATTCGGTATGATCGTGATACTTCTCCTTCCTTGTTTTTGTTTCTTTTTTTTAACCGGCCTCATTTTTGCCAAAAGCCAATTTTAGATTTAATCCCAACCGCGGATTCTATATTGTTTCGACGTCCAAATTTTGGGCATGTAAGAAAAAAAACTGATACTAAATTATTTCGATTGTACTGTATATTTGACACGGCATAGATGGACAAAATTTATAAGTTTCAAATAATAAAGCACTTTGAAATGCTTAACTAGTATGTTTTCGTTAATTGTATAATTTAATTATTAGCTGTCGACCTGCATTGATCGTTGTTTAAATAATTTTAAGTTGTCTTGCTGTAAATAAAGTTTATCGCGAGAGATAATAAATCAGGAGTAAATTATTTGCTATTTGAGTTTTTTAAAATTATTTTTGCACAATAGTTGCATTATATATTATTTACTATTTGTACAAAATTGAAAAATATAATAAAAATAAATAAAAAAGCTTTTATTTTACTTTACTCTTGTTTATTAGTATTACAGCTTAAATCTAATTTTCTCGAAAATGCCAAGCATCATTAAATTAATCCTCATTGTTAATACACAAAACAAATATTGTTAAAATTATGTCGTTGATGTTAAGAGGGAATTCCTTCCAGAGCATAATAAACGAGTTTTATTTCTTTCCTTTTTTATTCTATTTTAGTTTGTTTTCTCTCTAGATTTATATATTTCATATATTACGAGCTAATTATCTAATTAACCACACGTTTTCTTTCCCTCTTCCCTTGTCAGGTTTTTCTAGGTTTGTTATTCAATAAAGTTATTGTGTTTAGCGTGAATTTGATATTTTACATTGATATTTTACTCTCTCTCTCTCTCTTTCTCTCTCTCTATCTCTCTCTCTCTCTCTCTCTCTCTCTCTCTCTCTCTCTATCTATCTATCTATCTATCTATCTATCTATCTATCTCTCATCATACTCCAACTCTTTTTTTTAATAAAGTTCCAAATAGTATTTCCTCTGAGAGCAGTTTTGGTACTTTCAAAAGCAAATATCTAAAACATCTGATGGAAAATAATTAAAACCATCATAAAATCGTGGAATCATAAATTAATTAATATTGTTTTATATTATGTGTTTTTGCACTCTCTAAATAACTGCCATAATAACGAAAATTAAAAGTAATCGGTCCATAATTTAAAGTTATGTCTATCTATCAAAAATTCTTGTTAAAGTTTTTATTGCTTATCTTTTATTTTGATTGTTATTCATTGATTTCTTACATAGATAAATACATATTAACTTATAAATTTATAAACCAAAAATTGTTGTATTGTGAAATATTTAATAAAAAAGAATAAAACTTTATTTTTTCTTGAATTCTGTTTGTAAAATAAATTGTAAACACCGAGAGTCTGCATAAATTATATGTAAGTGTAATGTAAATCACGTTAAGTGGAGAAAGGTCCACGAGACCTAACCTTGTGTGGATAAATAAAATGTTTAATCAATCATCAATCTCACTCACTCTCCCTCTTTCCCACTCACTCTCTCTCTCCCTCTCCCTCCCTCCCTCCCTCTCTGACTGGATGACTGACATGATCATGCATTAGAATATTGTCGTAGATTAAGATTTCATCGAGGATAGGCAACGCATGATGTTCCATAATTTCATCCATATAGCGAATGGCCTGGAGAACGGGCTGGCCAAGCTATGACCCTGATTATGCTGTTGAAGGTACGTTTGTGCTATGCGAACGACATGTGGTCGGGCATTAGGATTGTTAGACAATAGGATTGCCGCTGATTTCATAGAATTTCATCCACGATGCGAGTGGCCGTCAAAGACCATCCACGAACAACAACCAACACTGTGCGACTCTCCGTTGAAATTCCCGCCCACATCATCACTGAGCTACGTTGGAAAGCTACGTGAGAAAAATTACAAGCTTTGTACCTTTCATTTCGTCTGGTTCATACTCTTTCACGCCCATCTGGAGATAGTAGAGCAAATCTACACTCATCTGTAAAAAGTACAGTAGACCAATCGTCCAAAGACCAATGGCTATGTTCTCGAGCAAATGGGAGCCGTGCAACTCTGTGCATTCTGGTCCTCTTACGGGGCGAAAAGCCATCAGTCCATACTGATTTAGTCTTCTTCGAGCAGTATGTATGCAGTAAAGTTCAGAAATTTGGACACCTCGAACTTTCTTTAGCTGATGAATCACTTGAACAACAGTAAGGTGCCGGTTTCGGAAAATTCTCAGAGTCATAAAACGGTCATCCTGTGGTTCTGTTGCCCTAGGGCGTCCAGAACCGAGCCTTCCATGGTAGGTCCCAGTTTCTCGAAAACGTCTCGCAGAGTTTCGTAGGGAACCCAGATGGCAATAGCCGCATATCTGATGCGCATACATCCTCAGCACTAAATGGCGTTTTTAAGTTTAAAAATTGAAATTAAGAAAACAAAGATGAAAACCAAACAATCTATTCCTTGTTTTGGATTAAGGATTAAGTTTTAATTAAGATTATGTCCTCAAATTGATATTCGCAATTTACAACATAGCATAAACAAATATTTATTGACAAACAATGAAACTAACCAAGGGCAGAATTTTCTTTTATCGAGAAAATGACAAAAAATCAATTGGGTGGAATTTTTCGCTTGTCACTGTAATTCGTGATTACTTGCCACAATGATACTTCATTTTCTACCACATACCTGATCCCAGTCATCAATTAATCATCGCTGGTCGATAATTATCTGTGTGATATGCAAATATACTTCTGAATTTTTCCATTTTGAGCTGATTTCCGACGAAAAGTGATTTTGCATTTTTTTCGCGTTCTATTTTCACTTCGTGTCCAACTTTACGTCGCTTCTGGTCCGAGAATACCAAATATATGTGGATATACGTGATGGTGATAAGGAAGCCAGGAAGGGGGGTTTATGTTCCTCAGGCAGCCTTCTGGCTTATCGTACCTTCCTAGTTCCCTTGTTCGATGCAGACTCAATCCTTCTTCTCAAAAGGGTCAGGTCATCGACTGTCGCTGGTACAATTTCATTCCCTAGATTTTTTTTCTGTTAAGTTAAAACTCCATTGAGCCGATGCTTCGCATTCGTAGATGATATGGGTGGCTGTTTCCTCCTCCTCATTACATAATCTGCAGATGGATATCATCGTTATATATGCCCATAGTAGACGTTTTCTCAGATGCCAGTGTGCCACGGTTAATAGTCCCATCACTCTTCGGTGTCTAGCCCTCTCCAATTGCAGCAGTGGGTTTGCCAGTCTTGGTGAGGTTGTTTTAGCAAAAGTTTACTGTGTCTAATCATTTCTCCTTTTGTTTTATTTGCATCCATTTTGCGATGGAGGATTCTGTATTTGTTTTTGTTATCCTTAGTATAGGTTTGGGGCCTATGTATGGTCTTGCAGATCCTCCGGCCAGTGGGTCTGCTTTTTAGTTATTCTAAATTACTTTGTGCCCTGGCACCCAAGATATCAGGTTGTTGCGTTTCCACAGGTTTTGGAGATTTTGGATACATTCACTGACTAATTTTGATGTGATTTTTTTTACATGTTAATGCTTTAAATATCTGCTTGGCTATCAGATATTATGTGGATTTTTTGCCAGTGTAACCTCTTCTTCCCTAATGAGGTTGACTGCTCATATCTTGGACATGTCCAAAAATCACCCGATCCTGTTTTTTCGTTTGTTTACCTCCCTACAGCCCTCTTTGTACCATATTGTATCTGTTGCTCTCCTGAGTTCTTCCTCTCCTTTATAGTCCGTTGAGACATTAAAGAATGTTTCCGAGATCATATAGACAGTTCGCATTTCTAAAAATGGGTGTCCTGATTTTATTAATCGTGGTCGTGTGCCGAATTGTTTAGTTCCTATCCAATTATTTTTGGAGCCTGGTATACTTACTGTAACTTCTCGATTGCATAATACGCATTTGCTATCAGAGTTTATTACTTTTTACACCATCAAAAATTTTCCAACAATTAATTCCGTTATTTTGGAGCATGCAATGATCGGTGTACAATTATAAAAAATTCTTTTGGTGTAAAGAAAATAATATATTCAGAGTGGATTGATTTTTTTTACTCTACCTTTTCTCATAATTATGTTTTGTGAATTCACAACAAATCTGTCGGACTGAAGAGTATAAAATGGACGGGAATGTCGTAATGAAAACTGTATACAACAAATTGCAGTTATATTGCGAATATTATAAAATAAAAACAAAAAAAATCGAACATTCATTGTGAACATTTTCAAATTTGATTAGGTTCTAAATCAATAGAGTTAAGTATCAATATGTAGCATTTACAACATGTGTACAATCGGGGTAAAAGACAAGGTGCCTTTATTTTATTGATATAATTTTAATTAATTCGGTGTCTGCAAGCAAAAAGGAAATGTTATACAGATGAGAACACTTCAATCGCAGTAAGGTATATAACAGCAAGGAGATTTCTTTTCTTTGAACAAAAATATTAACAAAACAAATTAGGCCTTATTTTCAACAATTAATCTATCCTAAGTTGAGTATTTGTACCAGCGGAGTAAAATAAAATTAAAATCACAATCGCAAAAAGTTGACTAAAGTACACAATTAAATAAAACTACCTTACAACTAAAAACAAAATGACGTGGTAATTTCTCTCTCTCTTTTTACAGGTTTTTATTGTTTTGCTTGGCTGTTCTGTTATTTTGGTCGGGCCTGTTTTCGGACTCGACGGAATGTCACGTTTTCGGTCGTAGCGCCATCCGCTTACGGCGATCCTCGGGCCGTTTCTTGTCATTCGGTTTTCGGTGTTATCTTGAAGCATTTTATCCTCAAGTGGTCGCACATCTGCCTCACCTGTATAAACAAACAAGGCAAAAATACTAGATTATGTTCTAAATTAGTAGAGTTAAGTATCAATATGTAGCATTTACATGTGTACAATCGGGGTAATCAAATATTAATCTCTGATGAATAGTACACCTGGCATTTAACATGAAACGACACAACAGTTTGGAAAAAGAAGAATCGATGAATTGTTGAATTTAAAGTAGGTGTAATTGCTTTGTTGTTTTCGAACATTTTGGTCGGCCTATCCTCGCTTGTTTTGGTCTGTAAAACGTATTTCGTTTTCTCGACGTCTTCAGTATGGGTCTGTCTTCTAAAATCTACTTTTGTACTATGAGCTTTCCTGTTGAAGTCTGCAGGGTAAAAGAGATAGGTCATTTCCGATCATTTTGGTCTACCTGTCCTCGCTAGTTTTGTTCTATCAGATGCGATTCTCGTCGTCGCCTTCGGAAGAGAGTCCGTCTTCCAAAATTTACTTTTGTATTGTGAGCTTTCCTGTTTACGTTTGCAGAGTGAAAGTACGTGTAATTAGGTCATTTCCGATCTTTTTGATCCACCTATCCTTGGTTATGGGTTATGATCGCCTTCTCGTCGCCTTCAGAAGTGAATCTGTCTTCTTGCACTGTAAGATCTGCTGAGGTCTGCGGGGTAAAAATACGTGTAGTTAGGTCTTTTCTGATAATTTTGATCAACCGTTTGCTTGTTTTGACATCAGACGCGTATTCGTCTTCTCGCCGTCCTCAGTGGTAGGTCTGTCTTATAGATTCTGCTTTTGTATTTTGAGAATTCCCGTTGAGGTCAGCAGGGTGAAAGTAAGTGAAGAAGGGCTTTTCGGATCATTTCAGTCTATGTAATCTCGGTTGTTTGATATTTCAGATATCTCAGATTTGTATCGTTTTCTCGCCGTCGACAGAAATCGGTCATTCATCTTGTCATTATACTATATTAGATATTCTGTTTGCGGGTGAAAGTACGTTAAATAAGCCTTTTCCGATAATTATGCTTGTTTTAGTATGTCAGACATGTACTTGCCTTCTTGCCTTCCTCAGTGGTAGGACTGTCTTCTTGAACCTACTTTTATTTTGTGAAATTTATCATTGAGGACTGGGGGATGAAAATACACGTAGTTAGGTCTGTTCCAATTATTTTGGTCCATATATTGCTCGTTTCGGTCTGTCAGACGCGATTCTCCTTCTCGCCGTCCTCAGTGGTAGAACAATCTTCTAGAATCTATTTTTGTATTTTAAGATATCCTGTTGAGGCCTGTGAAAGTACGAGTAATTAGGTCATTTCCGATAATTTTGGACCACCTATTACTTGTTTCGCATTACGCGTATCGCCTTTTCGCCATCTTCAGAAGTCGGTCTGTTTTCTAGTATTTTTGTATTGTATGATTTCCTATTGTGGTCTGTAAGTTGATGAACTTGTAGTTTTGGGCTATGTGAATCGGAAACGACCAACTATATAGTTTTCATCTAGTGGTATTCTGTTTACAATTTTTATTTTTCACCAGTTTCATTCAATTCAACGTATTTAACATGGTTTTGATTTTTTTTTTGTTGGTGATTATTTGCTTATTTGGGACTGAGAAGAATTGTCGAGAGGGGATTAATTATTTCTATACAACGCCGCCAAACTTTTCCGGGCGAAAAGTTGACTCGGATCGTCTTTCCCTCTGATCCGGCTGTATGTTCTATCTAGAAAGGCACCATCCTTTTATAAACAAAAAAACAATTCCTAAACTTTAATTTTCCTGTTTGCTTCATCAGCTGACAAAAGATAAATAATTTCGCAGAATCGGCACAGTGTGGGTTCAAATTTTGCTTTTCAGCAGTCTTAAATATTCCATAATAATATATAAGTCATTTAACATGAAAGGACACAATATTTTAAAGAAATAAACAACAATCCAACATGGATTGCTGTTTTTAAAGTATTTGGAGGATTTTTTATCTGGAATATCAGCACTTACAACGCAAGTTCCGTAGTGTATGTGGCAGAAGGTAGTGTATATCCATATGACGTACACTATCAGGATCTCGAGCAAGGGGACGATCCGTGAAAAGAGGAAGCCGATAGCTACGACGTTAACCAGCGAATTCCAACTTTCGCATTGTGTCGCTGACATCTGCGCGACGACCAGTCTACACTACAATAAAAACACAAAAAACAATAGATTTCGAACAATCGAAAACGGTGCTTCTCAGTGCTTACGGTTATGTTAGAAAACACAGTCCCTGTGAACATGTAGAAGGCCCTCGGGTGGGTTTCGATAACGGCCGACGGAGATGTCAGGCCCCAGAAGATTGTGAGCGCCATGAGACCCGTGAGGGGTATCATGGGCCTGAGGGCTTCGCAGACCGGCAGGTTCTTCCCGGTTTTGTTCTTGTACGATTTACAGATGTTGTATAGTGTCACGGGCAGAGTGGCGATGATGGACGTGAGGTAGAATACAGCTTCGAGGGCGTTCCCAGTCGTCACGCCGAATCCTATATCGATCGTGAGCATGTTCTCACCGAGGAAATATGACGACACAAAAACCGCTACGGTAGACTGAAAACATCAATTAAAAACCAAAAACTCAGACAACTTATCAAAATCGCTTACAAAAAAAAACTCACAAGCATCGAGAAGTCGTACCCCCAAGGCAGGAAGAGTGTTCCTGTAATGTACTTCTCCCAATGTGTAAGGTAGAAAGTAAGGAAGACGTTCCATAGGACGCAGTAGTAACGGACAGGGGGGACGGAACCGACAGACCTGGATTGAATGGAAGATGAGCACGGCGGAAACGAACAATAAAACATGAAAATTTACCTTCCAAACGCCGAATACAAGCTGGTCGGTATGAGGACGGCCGTGATGGAATCTAGCCCGTGGTCGAACAGTTCGCCGAGAGGTCCGCTCGTCCCCGTTATCCTCGCCTGTTTGCCGTCGATACCGTCGAGGGTGTAGCCCAGGAAGATGAGGACCGGGCAGACGAGTAACAACCATTCGGGAACGGAGCCGTTGAAATGAAAGTCGTGGTAGGCGAGGAAAGTCCAGGAGGCGAGCATTAGCGTGAACCCGAGGAAAGTGAGGAGGTTGGGGGCGACCCAAGATGGACACAGCCGAACCACCCTGTTCCAGAAGGGGTGCATGATGTAGATCGAAAGGGGGTTCGTGTCCACCGCCGAGTACTATAAACAAATACAAAATATCAATAAGAACATCTAATAATATATTTTCATAAAAACTCGAGGTGACGAATAGCTTGATCCTCCAAGACCAATAACAGAATATGAGGAAATCCGCCTAACAAAGCAATATAAGATTAAGCTACAATTCTTGCCTGTGTATTACAGGTTAAATAATTAATTACTTTTTAATTTTAAAAAAACCAGGCACAAGGAGAATTGAGGACACCCAGAGGTGCTCTATGCAGATAGTTAATTAAAATTCTATAAATTAAATTGTCCAAGCGCTAAATATGCTGACTGATATCACCTATCACCGCCACTAATTAGCAGTTTGAGCATCTATTATGAAGATCCGTCTTTTTTCATTGAGCCTCCCATGGTCCCTTAATGGTGGCGGATGTACGATTTCCTAGATTTGATTTGTCAAATCTGCAAGTAGCTCGGCCTTGGTGATGACTCCCATAAGAGATTATTCGAAGTTTCATTTATGTCGGGAAGGCGTGAAAGTACTATTCTCATATACCGTGGAGCTATTTGTCTCCATTTTACATAGAACGTACTCTTTTTATATCTATCGCTCAGGCAAAAAAACCAGATGGAACATGTACACTTTTCACTGTGTAGAGAAATAAAAGGACTCAACAGGAAATTTTTTAATACGTTTCTTGCACAGCTGAGGCTACATGAACATCCATCTGGTCATGTAGTTATTTTTGTAATGACCACAAAACTACATCGAGTTTATTTGCCTATACGTACTACTGGCATAAAAAAGAAGCACTTGCAGCTTGGATCAAGTTAAAAGTTTATATCTTGGAATACCTCAGAACAGAGACAGGAAAAAGACTTCTTTAAAAAAAATCTTGCCTTAGAGACCTGCTGAATCGAAGTTGAACAACACTCAGAGGTCGATCGTACATCAACGGAAGGGGATTAGTTTTTTATGTTCAGAGAGATAACAGGACTCACTAGCTGTTTTAGGGTGTACCTTTGCGTTCTTGTTTCCTGCACATCTGAGGCTATATCATCCACAAAAGATAACTAGTTACCTATGTATAGACCACTTAACTACCTTGAAACTTTCTTCAGGAAAGTAGATTATTTTTTTCTACACATACTATAATAAGCATTACCGAATGGATCAAATTAAAATCGCGTATCTGGTGGAACAACGCCCAAGGTCAGAGACTAGTAAAAACCAAAAGACCTCCTGTACTCCAGGGTGATAGTAGGTTTTTTATATGCGTCGATGGTAAAGAACATACATGGAACATAATCAATAGCAGGTGAATCTGTTTTTAAAATGTAGGGATAAGGTCTCACCAGATGTTTTAGACAGTACATTCGGATCCTCACAAAATATTGGAGTGATACCACACTCGAGAAAAGTGCAGGTTCTGCCAGGGAGAGAAACCGCAGTATAATAATATGCTTCAGTGAAAACCTGAAAAGGCAACGTTTCTAACCATGAATAACTGAGGAGAAGCTTCTAAGTAAGCTATAAAACCGGCAGACGGCCTGCATCCACTGCTGTTTGATTTATATTTGTTTACTTTCATTACGTTTACTGTACATAGCTTTAGTAGAAATAAACCATTTGTTCTTTCTTTCTAGTGACTAAAACCAATTCGAACAAAATATTCCGATTTGTTGGACAATGCTACCTCACTCAAACCTAACCAGATCTATGTGGAACCGGCACTGGGTTACTTATTGGGTCGTCTTTACTCGTGAGTTCTTGAATGACTCAAACGCATTTCGGCATTGGGCCATCTTCAGTGAGCAACTCCTCCTGTTCCTGAATTTCTCACTGAAGTTGGCAATGACAAACGGCGTTTGAGTGACTTAAAAACTCGCGAATATAGACAGATCCTGCAAGTAACCCAGTTCCGGTTTAACATGTATTCACCAACTCGAAGGCCAATACCCACCATCAACTTTAACTTAATGAAACGAATACTGCACTAGGTTTGATTTAGATGAGTTGAACTTAATCCTCCAATTATAAAACCGCTCGTCAATTTGATAATTCCCATCTTGCACCTGATCGCTGCTTAAAATGCGTAAGTTAATACCACGACATCAGCAAAATGAATTTTTTTTCGAATTGTCACACCCAACAGAGAAAAGAATCAAGACACTACCTTTCGAAACACTTCCTTTATAATATCTTGTATTTCCTGCTATCTGTCTGTACATGCTGAAATGATTATTAAAGCGGGCCAGTATGAGCTGTAGTAAATTTTCACTTCTAACATATATTTCATTCAAAAAGCTATAATATAGTGCACAAAATAAGAGAGAGGTAGATATAAAGATCGATAGATAAGCAAATAGAACTGAAAGGGAGAAAACAAAACAGAGAGAGAGAGAGAGAGAGAGAGAGAGAGACAAAGAAAGAGAGAGGTAGATGTAAAGACAGATAGGTAGGTAGATAGATAAAAAGAGAAAGAAAGAGGTAAGACAGAAGAGAGAGAAGAAAAATAAAAAGGTAGATATAAACTGAGAGAGCAGTAGAACCCAAAAAGAGAGAGGGTAAGGGGGAGAACGAGAGGAGAAAGAGAAAGAAGCTAAACAGATAGATCGAAAAAGAGAAGATATATACATCAACAGATAGATAGATAGATAGATAATCGTCTTCACAAAGTAAAATTCTTTGCATAGTTATGTCTCCTTTAGTTTTCAATTACATTAAATTAAACTCGACCTTACAAACATAAAATTCATTACATATTGAAACAGAGAACGATGAACATCGTAAGTACGTTACGTACTTTACAACGTAACTTACAATTACTGGAAATCATCATAAAAACATATATATTACGAAGAGCGAAAAAAATACAACTGAATTGCAAGCATCCATAGTAACATTTTCAACAAAAATAGTGATAATATATAATTAACTTTAATAATTAAATTATTAACTTTAATAATTAATTTAATTAATATATAATTAACCAAAAAGCGAGATAATTGTTTGTGTTTCAAGCTTGTAAAATGTAATGTTTTATGAAGTGCAACATGTCTTATTAATTATATTTGGGGTACATACGTGTGAGAGAGAGAGAGAGAGAGAGAGAGAGAGAGAGAGAAAGGGAAAGAGAGAGAGGGGGAGAAATAACTAAAAAGATATGTAGGTAGTTGTAAGTAAATAGTAAGCAAGGAAGAAAAAGAGAGAGAGAGTGAGTGAGGGAAGAAATAAATAAAGAGGTAGATAGGTAGTGATAAGTAAATGATGAGAAAGGAAGCGAGAGAGGGAGAGAGAGGGAGAGAGAGAGAGAGAGAGAGAGAGAGAGAGAGAGAGAATGAGTGAGTGAGGGAAGAAATAAATAAAGTGATGGATAGGTAGAGGTATGTAAATAAGTAATATAGTGGGGAGAGGGAGAGAGAGAGAGAGAGAGAGAGAGAGAGAGAGAGAGAGAGTGAGTCAGGGAAGAAAGAAATAAAGAGATAGATAGGTGATGNGAGAGAGCGAGCGAGCGAGCGAGAGAGAGAGAGAGAGAGAGAGAGAGAGAGAGAGAGAGAGAGAGAGAGAGAGAGAGAGAGAAGAGAAAGAGAGAGAGAGAGAAAAGAGAAAGAGAGAGAGAGAGAGAGAGAGAGAGAGATTGGTAGTTAGAGAAAGAGAAAAGTGAGAGTGAGAGAGAGAAGATATATATTGATAGATAGAAAGAAAAAAGAGAGAGAGTGACGTGAAAGAGAACGATGATAGTTTAGGAGATATTTAGATGAAAAATATATAAAGAAAGTGAGAAACGGGAGAGAGAGTGGGAGAGGAAAGAGTGAGAGAGAGAAAGAAGCTAAATAGATAGGTACATAGGTACAGAGGGAAATATGTACGATTGATATGATTAATAGAGAGAGAAAAAAGTAGAGAGTAAAGGGAAAGAGAAAAAATACATTTTAGGAGATAGATAGTTGGATGACAAAATAGATAGTGAGAAAGGAGAGAGTGTGAGTGAGAGAGAGAACAAGGATAAAGTGATTGAGAAAGAAGAGAGAGCAAATAGACAGGTAGGGAGAGAGAAAATGGAGAGAAAGATGAAAGGGGAGAAGGTTGGTAGAAAGAGAGATAAAAAGATAGATCGAGAGTGAGAGAGGAGAAAGTGAAAGAAGCTAAATAGACAGACAGATAGATACACAGATTGATAGATGGGGAGAGAGAAAGAAGAGATAGTGAAATGAAAGAGAAACAAGATATGTTAAGAGAGAAAATGAATGAGTGAATGAGAGAGTCAGCGAGGAGAGCGTATGCGTATAACTTCCATTGTGAATAAAAGTACGATTTATTTCTAAAATATAATTCCTTATGCAATTTATGTTGACAGCTTATCTGTCAACGAAATATATTACGTAATGTAACACTTACCATTGAACACACACATTTAATTCAATGACCATTACTCAACAAAAAATAAAATCACAATAATGATACATTGATTTTATTATTTTACAGGTACATCTTAACGGTGAAAATCGTCAAGAATAAAATACGTTTTTTTTTTTTTTACAACGCTCAAAAACGTTTAAATTTGGGTTTGAAGAGAAATCAACCAAATACGGTAGTAAAATGCAGATCGCATGCGGTGAAAGTCGTCAGTTCGAACTACATTAACAATAATCATTACGGTTGCTATCGCAACAACTGACACAGTTACCGCCATGTAGCTGACATTTAATGTCACAGGATATTGCTTCCTTTACATACTTAAGCACATGAATGATTATAATTGTTATTTGTCCGGATATTTCAAAGTAGGGCAAAGAAATTAGTTTTTTCCCCCCCGAGTCATTTTATCTCGTAGGGTAAAGGTCATTCATTGTTTTCCTTATCAGATGAGACTGGGATATCGTTAACAGTTGAATTTCACTGGGAAATAACAAGGAAAAGTGTGGCATTTTCACTGTATTTATGTCGATAGAGAAAAAAGAAACCGATTGGACTTACTTTATACGTGTCGAACCCCCTGAGCATGTCCTCGTCGAGGTATTTGTAGTCGAAGTCCATCAGTTTGTCATTCATCTTTCTAGGATTTCTCTCTGCTCGTGGTTGAACGCCGCCGTGCTGTTCTCTCGTCCTGGGCCCTCAGGTCGTCGGTGAACGCATTTTCCGAAAACGCCTATCTTCAACGGGGTGTACCACTGGGAATTTGGTGGGCCGGTGAAATTGGATGATTTGTTTTTAGTTTTGACTACGTGGTGCTATGAGGAAACGAAAGAATTTGAAATATGAAAAAATATTAATAACAAACGGGTCCGAACCCCCGTTGTCTTTCTCCGACAAGGAACGGATAACAGTCCGTCTAACCTGCCCCCGGATAATGTTATTCCCAGAGCTGCCAACATAACGGACATATTTCCCTACTTATGAGGAAATCGGATCTTAAACAGTAAAAACTAGTTGAAACATAATATAGAACAATTTAAAATTTCAAAAAGAATGTTATAAAAAGTCCAAATTTCTGGCTGTATGTATTGCTACTTAAAGGGTTACTTTTGTCTAAAAGATCGTGGTTTGCCTGGTTTTTAAATGATGATACAAAAAAATTTAAAATTCAAAAACTTCAAATATTACATATATACACTAAGTACTTCTGTTAAAATAAAAATAATGTGATGATTTCACGAAGAAAGCATTTATTTATCTGACTGTTCACAACTGATTTAATAGCCAAAACATTAATGAAAGTGGACAAATGGTTCCCTATTTGAGAAAAAAATATATCCAAACAATAAAATCAGGAAAAAATAGCAGAAACAGAATATAGAACTATTTAAAATAGCAAAAACAATATTATAAAGATTTAAATTTAAAATATTTGACTATATGTATCCACTACTTTCAAAAGGGTGACTTTTGGCTCAAAGATCTACAAGTTCGGCTGGTTTTTAAATGATAATTCAAAAAAATGAAGGACTCTCAAAAACTTCAAATATTATATGATAATATTATTTATACTAATTCCACTAATATAAAAATAATGCCACGATTTCTCAAAGAAAGCATCTGTTTATCTGCCTGTCCGTAACTTATTTAATAGTCAAAACAATAATGAAAGTGGACAAATAGTTCTCTAATTGAGAGGAAAATATATCCCAAACAGTAAAATCTGGAAAAAAAACTGTGGTCAAAATGTCTCACTATTTGTATCACTACTTTCATAAGGGTGACCTTCTGGCCCAAAGAACTCTCTTATGCCATGTTTTTAAATGAAAATTCTAAAAAAATAAGTTCAAATATCACAGATTAGTAGCCAATCCTTCTGCTAAATAATAACACATAAATAAATTCAGTGACCTAATCATTAAAATTAAAACATTCACCTATCTGCCTGTTGAAACTTGATTTACAAGCCAACATAATGGAATGCACAAATATTTCCCTTTTTTGTTATTATTTTAGTTTATTCCATTCTGGTAGATTATTATATATTTTTTATCTTTTTCTGATTTTTTTCTTTGTGACATTGTGTTTCCACATTAGCGTTAGAATTCTGCAAAGTTGTTAGGGTTTACTGATGATGGGTGTACAAAAATAGCAGAAACATAGAAGAAAAACAAAAACAAATAAATTAGCCTTTTCTAAAAAATAAATAAAGAAAGAAATAAAATTTAAAAAATATATATCAGTCTTTCCCTAATTGTGATGATATAGATCAATACTGGTAGTGGTATATAAGGCCAACTCTTTTATCTTTAATAAATCAACAAATTCCTGGCTAGTACTGTATAAGCAATTTTCCATAGAAACTCTTTTTTCCTGAAGCTTCAGATTTACATAGACAATTTAAAACCAAACCCTTCGCATTGTCATCAACAATCATTATTCCTGGCTCAATCAGAGGAGGGCAGAGAAGGGAGTCAATAATGTATAGATAACAAAAAATATAATAAAAATAAGTTCTAACTTAATATAAATTTATTTTCTCAATTAACAAAACAATAAATATAAAAATGACTCATGCTACAAAAAAATATATACAAAATTTCTCTTAACTAGTAATTACTGCATTTTTTCTATAACGAGGGTGTCTGTCCGGAACAGTGATGATATAACAACCTAAAAATCAGGATAAAACAAGATAAAATAGGGAGATTGTTGACTGCACAAATTATTTATTTTATTTTTTTAAATTTACTAAATACCTGTCTTTTGATGATATCGAGACTTTTGATCCCTTCTTCGTATTTTTCGATTATTTTCGCCTCGTCAGTAATGCTTTTATTGATTTTAAAGCCGTCTCGGACCCTTCGCAGACCATACATCCTGAAGTACACAATTATTTATTTATTATCCTATAACAATTAATCAATCATACTATGTTTGTTTACCATTTTTCCAACCTCTTATAATATAAAACAAAAATTTTAATAAATACAATTTGTGTTTGTAAAAAATTGGAGGGGGCCTATCATTTTTTCGAAGAGTGTACTTTGTGATAAATCCCTATTGTACTAGTGTATAAATAAACTTTCAGATATTGCACTTTACAATTATTTATTTTTTTATTTCATAAAAACTGCTACATTTGTTCTAGTTTCAATAAAAAGCAAGATGAAATATTATTATAAACAAAAGTTGATTTAGCCCTTCTTTAGAAAATATTTCAGAATAGTAAGTTAACTTTTTGAGACATCTGAGGCAAGTTTTCAAGACTTCCTGCCACCATATATCAAAATGCATTTATGATACTTACTCGATGAAAAAAAGAAATGTACACCAGCTCTACGTTGAGCACAGTTAATCTACTCGGTCGAGGTGCAGGCCGGTCTTTTATCCATATGTCCACCGTAAACCTTTTACTCCTTCTGATGTAAATTATGCAACTAAAACCTATATCTCAAGAATTTTCAAACTCCAGGATTTTATCTCATTACATGTTCCGTCCTTCGATAACTCCTGAAAAAAAGCTATACATATCCTAACAAATCTTTTGTAATGCAACTCTCTGTACAACTCACTCCCTGACGACTTAGAAAAGCACCGAATTCCTACCCAGTGGGGTCACTTTGAGCTTTCAGTGTTAATCGTAAGTTATTTCAATTAATATAATATAATACTTTTTATCTAAGGTTGAGATGAAAGAGTAGTGTCACGAGCAGGATTCAAACCCACGACCCTCGGCTCAACACTTGAGCTGTCATGACTTCGACCCACTTGGACACCAACTCCTCATCTCAACCTACAACCTTTCCAATTTTCCCACTTTTTGCCATTTTTCAAATGTCTTGTAATCAGGATTCGATTCTCAGCGATTTATGAAGTGGCCACGGGGAGCTGTTAGTGATTACTTCTTTATTATATTAATCCATATATGTTTAGCAGCCATAATTGGTCATATTAATTATTTCAATTTTTTTTTTAATCTAAGGTCTTGGTTGAGTTGAAAAAGTTAGTGTCACGAGCAGGATTCTGACCCAAGACATTATGCTCAATATGCCGCTGCTCTAACCACTTGAGCTGTCGTGACTTTGACCCAACTCCTCATCTCAACCTACAATCTTTCGAATTTTCCCACTTTTTGCATTTTTTCATCTCATACCTTAGATAAAAAGAATATGGTCAATTATAGGAGTTAAACATGTATGGGTTAAACATAATTTTTTGATAATGCAGATCAACATACAGTATTGTTTTAAACCCTGTTGTATTATGGTTTAAATCAAACTCCATATATACAATTTTGACCATTCTAACAAACAATCTTAAGTAAAAGGGAACTTTTTTTTATCAATCAGAACTAATGTTTTTTCAAGATTTTCTTTATTAGTTATATTTCACAAACGATTAACCATATTTCTAGGCAAAGGATTGCAATTTTTATCTATACTATTTCACATCGTTTCTAAGCTAGTTTTCAACCGTAATATCGTCAAATGGAATTGCTTCCCCTCGAAAATATTCAAAAATCATACACACCTGAAATTGTACGCCGGAAATTTCGAGGCCTCTCTCAACAGAGCTTTGTAAAGTGTCAACACTTGCAGCTTTCCTGGAGCCGGCATCGGAGTAGAATCGGGCCAAAATTCTTTTTAAAGGATCGAGAAATTGAATTTTTTTTGGTAAAAAGCAACTCAACAACAGAGGAAACAGGAATTTTGTATTGTGCATAACCTTCACAAAAACCTCATCTACTGTTTACATTTGTATAATTTTAATTTATTAAATAACAACAAAACTGTTAATATTTTTTTTAATAAGTAGTAAAACACTTTATCTAGTAAATTTATTTTTTATACTGATAGAAAATATATTATTTACTCGTTTACTGTTTTGATCAAAAAGCACCAGATTTAAAATAAAATAATGTATTAGGACTGTTTCTTCTTAATAAACTGCTTTAAAATGTAATAATAATAATAATAAATTGTAATAATACTGATAAAGATAACAAACTATTATTGATATTGGATGGAATAAGGTTATGAAGAAGGCATTGGAATTTTCATCTGGAGCTTTCAGGAACCTTTAGCTATTATTTTAATAGTTCCTGTAAAAAAATATTTAAAAAAGGTGAGTTTCTCTTTGTTATCAGTCGGTTTTCAGTATTTTAGCTATTTATATTCCTTGTCAATTTGTGTACCTTAAAGTGATTATTGTATCATACGATAAACTGGGTCTAACGATTGAAAGAATCCCCCGTGGAAAGATTAACTCTGTAAAATTTGTAATTCTTTTTTAGTAATTTATAAAACAAATTTTATATTAGTTAATTACTCGTTTAGTTTGTCAATTTAGAATCTATTTTCAGTATTACAAGTATCGACCTACCATTAAATTATTCTATGAAAACCACCCTAAACTGCCTACACCATTTATCGGGCAGTTTTTTCGTATCGAATATAGATCCAGATCAAACCCGAAAAATAACCCAACCCCTCTCTGGTTAGTTCCAAAAGTTAAATTTGATTTTTCTCTTACAAATACGTGAAAACGCTTCTGCTTTGATCATATACACTGATGGTTCCAAAAAATCACATATTGTACGTTGTTCGTATGTAATTGAGTGTCACCCTTCTATTTTTCGTTTACCCTCACTTTTCAGTTCAAATAATGCAGAAATATTTGCCATTTTAAATGCTTTAGATGATCCCTTTATCAGCCACCATAAAATAATTATATTTTCTGATTCTTCAAGCTATTCAGAACCCATACTCCAAAAATCCGTTAGTTCAGAACAATTGGCAAAACTTGAAAAAAAAAAAAAAAAAATGAACGGCTTCAATTTCCTTCATTTGGATACCGTCATGTCGGGATTAAGGGAAATGAGCTAGCTGACAATGCAGCAAAACCACAGAACGATCCCATCATCTCAGTTTTAATAAATCCTGAAGATATAAAGTCTGCTTTCAAACTTAAATTAATTGAAATTGGGAAAATCAGTGGAAACAAACCACTTCCAACAAATTACGAAATAGAAAAGAGACTGTTAAACCATGGGAAACATACTTCCAAACTTCCAGGTCGTACTGATTACGTATAGGGCACACAAATGACCCACTGGCACCTCATGGAAAAATATACCATCAATATGCTTTTGTAATCATCAATTAGATGTATTGCACATACTTACATCCCTCCCTTTTGTCTAAGGTGGGCTCATTACCCCAAAATCCCTTGAACTATAAAAGAAATCTTAGGGAATGAACAGAAAAAAAATTATCAACTTTTCAAAAGTCTAAAAATGAGAAATCTCTATAAACTTATATGTACAATGGCGACGACAACCTTTGATGTTTTTTGTATATATTGTATTATTTATATATAAAATTATATATAGATAATGTATATATTTATATGAAAAAGTATTGACTTCTTTTTCACTTACGTACACTTCGGATCAAGCTTTGGCTTTGAAGAAGAAAGTAAATTTAGTTGCTACTGTCATGCTTTTGACCTATTTTAATGTCAACATCAGGGCAAAACAATCTTAATTATGTCTGTGGATTGACATATTTAAGTTTTTTCAGTTCAACTACACTTGATATAAAAATTATAAATCACCTTAATATTATGAACTTACCTTATTAAATAAAAATTGTAGTGATATGTATACCTCCTACCTGTTTCTGTATGTGTGCTTTTTTGTCCTTGATAAATATGCCCTGGCTATTATGGCTACTATACTACTATTATGGTAACCCTATTTTAGTATCAAAAGAATCCATGAAGGAAGAAGTGCATCTCTCTGTCGAACAATTATCAAGTTTTTGACTAGAAAATTTAGTGCGATTAAAGGCACATTAAGGGGACAACACACTTCAAGAATCTGCGTTTTTGCACAGAAAATTTTCTGGAGGGTGTGAAAAGGTGAAATGAGAGACACGATCGTCGTTAAAGGACGAGTGTGACCGAGGCCAACAATGAGGTGGCTTTGCATGTTGACTTTCTCAATATAGAGAATCAATATTGAGACTTGCTCAATATGCATCGATAGATGCACAATTAATGTGCAATATTATTGTGATTTATTGGATGCTGTGAAATTGTCATATCAAAGGAAAAGGTTGAAACAATCAGCCGGTGGCATTCTTCTGCATGACAATGCCATGTCTCATACGAATGCCATGAGGCAAAAATATATAGTCGAGTCTTTCATCTTTTTGTATACCTTAAAGAAGCTCTTGGAGGCCAGTGTTTCGACAACAATGAAGGAGTGGAAGCATTTGTGTTCCAATGAGTATGAGCACATCCCAAGACTTCACCGACTCACAGACCAAAACCCATCATCTACTGTCCCAAGACCTATTATGATGATGTAATTAAAAAAATAAAATAAATAAATTTAAAGAAATGCCAATGCGATGGGAAAAATGTATTTCTAGGGCACAAGAATATGAACAAAAATAGTATATTTTTTGTAAGCTTTAAAGACAAACATCACAGCTACATAAAAAAGCAAAAGTATGAACATTATCAATATTATTTTTTTTAAAGCTTTTTTAAATTGATCATTTAATTACTTTAATTTTATTTTTTCCCAGATGGCTGAGTTACCTGCAAAGAAACTACCGAAGCCTCAGTTGCGAGGACTTCTTGCAACGAGTACCAGGAACCACCTCACAGGGGCGATCGTGCTTTCAGTTGTCACCACTGTCATGTACAAATTTTTGGTTTGTGACGCAAGAAAAAATCGCTATGCCGAGTTCTACAAGTAAATATTAATTTAAATAATACTATGCTGTTATATGATATTGATTTTTTTTTCCAGAAATTACGATGCAGATGCTGAGTGCGACCGATTGGAAAAACTCGGCCTGCTCGAGTCTTGTAATCCTAAATAGATTTGTACAATTTACCATTCAACATCAGAAATGTGAATTATTAAAAAAGAAATGAGTAAAATATACTGTTGTTTTAATATAATAAATTTAATGTAATATACACAAAAACAATGGCTTTATTATTTCAAACCTTTTAAAGGGAAAAACTAAAATTTCATTAAAAAAAAGAATCTTGATTTCTTATTAGCAAATCTCATTCAAATGGAACATACCCATTGAAACACGAATAGTATTCCATACACCTCTACCTATCAATAACTACAAAATAAACAATTATATGATAATTATAAATTCAAAGGTGTTAAATTTGTTTTTAAAAAAATAAAAACTTATAAAGTGACTTCATTTATTACAACTACAATTGGTTACAGCGAAATGACTACTAAAAATTGTTACTGTGGGACTGCAAGTGCTCAGCAGAGCTGTATGCGATTGATTACGAGCTTGGGGTGATGCTCCGTCTATATCGTTTGTACAGACTCCCTGAATGTGGTTTCTGCTATCTGTGACCGGTTCTTGGCAATACCCAGTCACATGAGGCTGGAGAAATGTATGGACGAGAGACAGAGAGAGGGGGAAGAGTGAGAGAGAGAATAACGAAAAGAGAGCTATATAGTGAGAGAAAGAAGAAAGAAAGAGGATATAGATTCATAGATAGAGAAAAAGAGAGAGGGGAGGGAGAGAAAGAATGAGAGTAGGGAGAGGAGTGAGAGAGAGAAGAAAGGGAGGAGTGAGAGAGAGAAGAAAGGGAGGAGTGAGAGAGAGAAGAAAGGGAGGAGTGAGAGAGAGAGAAGAAAGGGAGGAGTGAGAGAGAGAAGAAAGGGAGGAGTGAGAGAGAGAAGAAAGGGAGGACTGAGAGAGAGAGAAGAAAGGGAGGAGTGAGAGAGAGAGAAGAAAGGGAGGAGTGAGAGAGAGAGAGAAGAAAGGGAGGAGTGAGAGAGAGAGAGAANTCTCTCTCTCTCTCTCTCTCTCTCTCTCTCTCTCTCTCTCTCTCTCTCTCTCTCTCTCTCTCTCTCTCTCTCTCTCTCTCTCTCTCTCTCTCTCTCTCTCTCTCTCTCTCTCTCTCTCTCTCTCTCTCTCTCTCTCTCTCTCTCTCTCTCTCTCTCTCTCTCTCTCTCTCTCTCTCTCTCTCTCTCTCTCTCTCTCTCTCTCTCTCTCTCTCTCTCTCTCTCTCTCTCTCTCTCTCTCTCTCTCTCTCTCTCTCTCTCTCTCTCTCTCTCTCTCTCTCTCTCTCTCTCTCTCTCTCTCTCTCTCTCTCTCTCTCTCTCTCTCTCTCTCTCTCTCTCTCTCTCTCTCTCTCTCTCTCTCTCTCTGCTTCTCTCTCTCTCTGCTTCTCTCTCTCTCTGCTTCTCTCTCTCTCGCTCTCTCTCTGATTCTCTCTCTCTCTCTCTCTCTCTCTCTCTCTCTCTCTCTCTCTCTCTCTTTCTTTCTCTCTTTTCACACTCCAGTCTTCACTTAAAATATGATGATAGAATTTATGATAAATGTTCTCAACTCCTTTTTTTTTAATTAATGATTTAATTGATTACAATTTAGCATGTATCATTTTCAATGTTAAAAATGTTATTATCTAGTGTTAAAAATGAAAAACCTACAACATATATAAAAAAATAAAATATAGATCTGATGTACATAATATAAACACTAAATATAAAACTAAGCAATTAAAAGAGTGTTTTCAAAATTACCAGTTGAAATTCAGCATTGTAACAAAATAAGTTTGTTCAGAAAAAAACTAAAAAATTATTTTCTATCAAAATATGTGTAAAAATATTAAATCATAATATTCATTTTTTTTCTCTCTTTTTCCTCAATTAAGTACAAAAATTGTTTAAGATGTTGATAATGAATCTATACAACTGTCACTTAAGTTTATAATGTTAAACCCTTACAAATGTGTATTGTTAGTTTTTTCTCCTGATATTATTTAAAGATTATTGTTTTATTTTGAATGTGTTACTCATCCGTAAACAAGTATATAGCTTGTAAGAGATAATTAATTTGTTAACTTTGTTGTGAATAGTAGATTGCTGCAATTTCACTTTAGGTGTAAGAGTGGTTCTAGAGATCAAACCTTGAGTGATTGTTAAATAAAGCTATAATCAATCAATCACAAAATTCAATTGTTTATTTGTCATTACAGTTTTATCGGTACCTAGTTTTGTACGATTCGTCCAAGTCAATTTGTATTTTAATTATTTATTATTTAATCGGTCAATTCAACGTGGTCACAAAGTAACGAGTAAGATATGCGTTCGTATAATGCACATTTGTGCAGCAGCTATTTTTTAATAGTTTCCTTTGTTATTCCGTTCGGCCGAGGGGGGAAGAGTTCCTTCAACTTTCGAGGGTAAAAGGCGTTGTATTCACGCTCCTATTGCCTCTGAGATGGGTCAGCCGGAAGTTTAAAATTAATTATCCGCTCCATGATAAAGGAGGGTAAAGATCGTCGGGGGGAAAAAAGGAGGAGAATGAACCAGGCAACAAAAACTACAAGTTAAATAGGGGGGAGGGAAGGAAATATTAATTCCAATTAATATAATCCTTAACTCTTCGCCCTTTTCTGTCGGCATTTGAAGAAATTGTGTTTTAAATAGAACGTCACACAAAAGTAACAAAGAAGAAGAAGAAGGAATTAAGAAAAAAAAGAAGAAATTAAATTACAAAGAAGAATAACAAATTAAATATACATAAGTGTTACAATAAATCAATAAGACATACTTTTCAAAGTTATTCAGATATTGTGAGATGCGGTCGGGTGTGATATAGGTTTCAGAAAAACATTTTCTTTATCGTGCCTAAAAATGTTTTTCTGAAACCTACATCACACCCGACCGCATCTCACGATATCTGAATAACTATCGATTAACGGTCACTAATCTCTACACATACTTTTCAAACTTGAACTGTAAAACATCAGCCCTCACACAGATAATTTAACAACCTAGGCTGTAAAAAAACAAAACATTTATTCCTCCCTGAAGATCAGGATTTACAAATTGAACTATCATAATTCATCCAATATTAGGGGTATTCACGATGTTAACTCGAATAGAGAAATATCCAGTAAGATCGTAAATGCCCCCTTCTTTTCATGTTAAACCCTGCAATAAATTGATCCATCCATGGAAAGTACAATCTTTTCGTAAAATATAAATCAAGTCAGGTTTCGATTTAGACAGGACACATTACACTGAAAACTAAAAACAAATCAGTATTCAAAAAAGGGACTTCATTTGGATGTCAATTTTGTCAAATCATAAGTAAGTTTATCTATTTATTTTGTTGGAAAATCGCTTCAATAAACAGTGCAAAAGAAGTCAGATTTTGATTTGAACACGACATAATACATACATAAAACAAGACGTAGCTTTGGTTCTTTTTTAAAAAATGTAATTCCATTGTAAGTATATTAATCTTAAGACCTTTCAAGTTTAAGTTAGTTGACCAATATATCGCACACCCACAAGAAACAACTCGGCAATAAAAAATTTTACAGGAGACAGATGGAAGTTTACTTTTTTTGATTTATGTATTATCTACACGCCTTCTAAATCCAACACAAACCATTGAAAGGTGAAATATTTTTGGAAAAAAAAACTAGTGAAAATCAAGTAAAAATGCACTAAACGCATTTCTCAAAATATGAGATCCATCCTGAACGAATACACAGCGAGTCCAGGCGGACCGCGATAATCAGTTTGAAACAAACTTCCAAGAAATATTTTGAATTAATGAATAATTTAGAATAGTAAAGTTAATAATTGGTCGATTCATGGTGATTGTTTTTAATTTTATTAATTACATCCTGTTGTTTATTTGGGTGTGATGGTTTTAAAAAGAGGACTTTATTAAGAATATACTTTCTAAGTCTAAAAAATTAATTAATCGATCCGTCGGAAGGCGAAATCTTTTAGTCAATTTAGATAGACTCTAAACAAGGCTTACAAGATAACAAGTACTGACACTGGTAGTACTCCAGAAAGGGACTTTGCTTAAATTTTAAGTGTTTTTAAAACCTGCAATGATGCAATGATTGATCCATTAAAAAGGGACTTTCAATGGCTTGCAAGTATCATTTTAAGTCTGTATTAAGTTCTACGAGCCATTGAAAATACAATCTTCTTGGAAAACAATGTAAGCCAAACCAGGTTTTTATTTAAACACGACACATACACTGAAAACTAAAAACAAACCAGAGCACGGGTAAAATAAATTAATCGATCCGTTTGAAGGAGAAATCTTTTAATAAATTTAGATAGACTACACAATACTTAGAAGACAAGTACTGACATTGGTAGTATTCCAGAAAGGGACTTTGTTTAAATTTTAAGTGTTTTTAAACCTGCAATAAATTGATAGATCCATTGCAAAGTACAATCTTTTCGTAAAATGTAAATCATGTCAGGTTTTGATTTAGACCTGACACATTACTGAAAACTAAAAACAAACCACAGTACGGGTAGTATTCGAAAAAGGGACTTTCTTTGGTTGTCAAGTTTATCTTTCGAATAAAAATTTTTTTTATCTCTTATTCTGTTGGAAAATCGCTTCATTAAAAAGTGCAAAAGATATCAGATTTTGATTTAAACACGACATAATACGTACATAAAACAAGACGTAACTTTGGTTCTTTTTTAAAAAATACTGTAACTCGATTGTAAGTTTTAATCTTCAGACCTTTTAAATCTAAGTAAGTCAACTCAACAAAAGAAAATTCTACATGATAGACAGAAGTTTACTTGTTTTATTTATGTATTATTTATCTACACGTCACTACGGTTGTTGGAAATAAAAACTCTCATAATCCATCCAATATTATCTTTCGTTTGTACAAGACAAGCGAAAGCACAAAACTTTTTAAAATCCAGCTGCACTGCCGTTAAAAACCTACCGCTTTTTGAGTTGTGGCACCTTTCTTGCATATATTGGCAATCAGTTTTAGTTAGGTGGTTTGCTTTAACGATAATGTTGATCAATGAATGACTGTAAGGGTATTAATTTTTTTTGTTTTTTTGTGATAGTAAAAAACAACGTACAACTAGTTATTCAAGTTAAGTTTCGACCAATTTTTCACTCTGGATGAAGATCTTGAAGAAAA